TTTTTTTTCTTTTGACCAGTGTCTCTTAAGTTTAGTTGTACTGTCTCCAAGGGAAGGTGACGTGTCCTGTAGAACTCCTGTGTAGATTATGTTTTCCTTTATGGCCCTAGGGCCGCAGGCACATCTCCGGGCGGTTTTTCCTGGGTACCTGAAAGATGCCTCTTTGCTGTTATCTGAGGTGACCTTCCCCAGTGCGCAGCTTCCGGTCTTCCCTCTCTGGCCGTTTTTTCCTGGGTTTTACCTGAAAGATGCCTCTTTGATGTTATCCGAGGTGACCTTCCCCAGTGCGCAGCTTCCGGTCTTCCCTCTCTGGCCGGTTTTTCCTGGGTTTTACCCGAAAGATGCCTCCTTGCTGTTATCCGAGAAAGATAACTGTCTTCTGGGCCTTTGTTTTACGTGTGCATTCAAGCTAACCTTATGGGAAAGAAGAACTTCCTCAGTGCAACACTGTGACGATGTATCTTCTCATATCTCAAAGTGGACTTCAAAATCAAGTTCCCTGCACTGAAGCCTCAAGCTGCTTGCCCGTGTCTAACATACGTAATCATATATCCCTTTTAAACAGTTCTCTCCTTCATCTGTTTCAATGCAGTATAATGATTTTATTATTTTTTTAAAAAAGAACAAATAGGTCTGTCTTGGAGAGGGTAGAACCAAGTTTCTTCCTGGAGGCTAGGATTTTGAAGTTCCATCTCACATGCTTTGGTTACATGGCCAGGAGGGACCAATCCTTGGAGAAGGACATCATGCTTGGAAGGGTAGAGGGACAGCACAGGAGAGGAAGACCAAGGATGAGATGTATTGATATGGTGACTAGGGCAATGGGGGGGGGGGTAGGTGTGTCGGAGTCAGTGAGACTGGCTCAGGACAGTGCAAGCTTCAGTGCTACTGTACATAGGGTCACTACAAGTTGTAGGTGACTTGATGGCACATGACAACAATATACACTGGTTATAAAGAAATGAAAACAATATAGGAAAGTCCAAAGAAGGGAAAAGAACATCTTCAAATCCCACTGTCTTTAATGCCTAGTGTACAGCCTAGTATGCATCTCTATATGACATAAAGAGTAAATAGAAGAAATTATGTACTGTTAAGTCAGAACTGACCCATAGCTGACTCCTCTCCAGTAGGCCACCATAAATTCTTAGTTAGGCTTAAATCAGTGGTCCCCTGGAATGGATGTATACTGGTTTATTCCATTTTACAAGATCCAAACATCCATTTCCATCTTTGCTTTCAGTAACATTGTGGTAGTAGACTCAGATTTGCCATGGTGGGAGTATTTATTTAACCACAAAATTCAGTAAGTGCTACCAAGCAGGAATTTTTTTCTCTCTCCAGTAAACATGTTATTAAACCTTTCATAGAATCTTGCTTTCTGTGACAATACAACCTTGCTTGCTGAAAGTGAGGAAGACTTGAAACACTTTTGTAGAGGATCAAAGACTACAGCCTTCAATATGGATTATATCTAAGCATCAAGAAGACAAAAATTTTAACTACTGAAACAATATGCAGCATCATGATAAAGGAGAAAGGACTGAAATTGTTAATAATCTCATCTTCCTTGAGCACACTATTGGTCAACACCATTGGTACCAGCGGTGAGGAGACCAGGCGATGTGTTACATTGGAATAGTCTGCTGTTTGGGACCTCTACAAGTTACTGAAGAGCAGTGATGCCAGTTTGAAGACTAAGGTGCACCTGATCCAGGCTATCACTAGCTATGTATCTGAGGGATAGACAATGACTAAGGATGACAGGAGAATTGATGCCTTTGAGCTGAGGTGTTGATAAAGAGTACTGAATATCCATGGATGTCCAAAAGAACAGATATTTCTTGGAGAAAATGCAGCCAGAATGCTTCTTGGAGGCAAAGATGGCAAGGCTTCATCTCACATACTTTGGGAATATTGTTAGGAGAAGCTATTCCTTGGAAAATTACATTAAACGTGGAAAGGCCGAGGGTTAACAAAAGAGCGGAAGACCCTTGACAAGATGAATTGACACAATGACTGCAGCAGTGGGCTCAAGTGTGTCAGAGATTATGAAAATGGAGTAAAATAAAATAGGGTTCAGATTTGGTTTTTTATAGGGTTTCTGTGAGTTGTACTAAATCAGTGGCACCTAACAACAATTTTCTGAGTATCATTTTATCTAAATCCTATGTTCTTCCTTTTCTTAAACACCCAGCAGTATTATTACTGCTTTTACGTTTTTGTTTTGTTTTCCCCTAGAATATTCTTCTAAGGTTATCCAAAGAGTTTACTCTCACTCCTTCCACCCCTGCTCAAATATCCCTGTATCAATGTGATCTCCCTAGACTATTCTCTGTAAAATAATGCTTCCTCTCTTGTGTCTCAGAATGTAGAAATTATTGAACAATATAATTAATGTTACATGCAACCAAAATATTACTGAAGATAATTCACAATCTACTAGAACAGTACATTCAGAGAGAACTGCCAGAAAGTCAAGCTGGATTTAGAAAAGGCCATGGAACCAGTGATCCTTGCCGAAAGCAGAGAATTTTGGAACAATCTCTACTTGTGTTTTCTTGACTATGCAAAAGCATTTGACTTTGTGGATTGTAACAAACTATGGGTAATATTGAGAGGAAAGGGAATCTCAAAACACTTAATTATGTTTGTACAAAACCTGTACCTAGACCAAGAAGCTGTTGTCTGAACAGAGCAAGGGAACACTGGATGGTTTAAAATCTAGGAATGTGTGCAGCAGGGTTGTATCCTTTCTCTAGACCTATTTAGTCTGTTTACAGAGCAAATCTTTTAATAAACTATGCTCTATATAGAAGAATGTGTCATCAGGATGGGAGGAGGACTCATCATTAACCTGCATTATGCAGACAAAACCCTGCTTGATGAAAGAGGAAGACTTGAAGCACTAGCTACAGAAGATAAAAAACTACTGCCTTAAAATAAAAACAACAAAAACTACTGACTTCAATACGGATTGCATCTCAACATTGAGAATACAAAAATTCTTACCACAGGACCCATAAGAACATTATGATACATGGAGAAAAGATTGAAATTGTCCACAATTTCATCTTTCTTGAATCCCAAGTCAACACCCTTGTTACCAGCAGTCAGGAGATCAGGAGATGTATTGCATTGGGCAAGTTTGCTGTCAAATATCTCTCCAAATGATGGAGTAATGTCAATTTGAAGACTAAGGTGCAACTGATCCAGGCAATGGTTTTTTCAATCAGTTGCTATGCATCTGAGAGCTGGACAATAAGGATGACAGAAAAATTGATGACGTTGAGTTGTAGTGTTGGAGAAGAGTACAGAAAATTCCATGAATGGCCAAAAAAATAGATATGTCTAAGGAAGTACAAACAGAGTGCTTCTTGGAGGTAAGGATGGCAAAGCTTCATCTCACACAACCTGGGCATATTGCTAGGAGAGACTGTTTCTTGGAAAGGGACATGGGACATGAGGCTTGGAAAGATGGAGGGTCAGAGAAAGAGAGGAAGACCCTCAAGGAGGTGAAGTGACCTGAATTGACCAATGACCGCTGCAGCAGAATCAAGTGTATCAGATATGATGCAGATTGGCACAGGATAGGATGAAATTCAGATCTGTTGTTCATAGAGTTATTATGAGTCATACTCAGCATCAGTGGAACTTGACACCACTACCACCACCACCACCATCACCACCACTACCACCACCACCACCACCA